TTTGTTGGGTTACAAAATGAGATACCAAATGAAAGTGCATGGCCTTCGCATGTACAAAAACTTTGTTACTTTTTAAGTAGGGTTGCCACCTATTTAAACGTACTATTTTCTATACTTAGTATAAAGGAAAGTTGAGATATTTTGACCACGCCACTGAACGGATTTAGACGAAATTGTTTAAGTATAATCTGTATCGATGGGGATTTTATCTTTAGTACTTTGAGTTCCCATAGGGGATCCACCTGTTTAAAAAATTATTAGGCCCGCACTTTTCGTAGGATTACCAGAAATGAGGTGTAAAATAAAATGGCTCGGCTCTTAGATGTTCAATAATGTATTACTTTTTGAGTAGGGTTGCCACCTATTTACAAATTACTATTTCATTTGAACATGGTATGCATACAAAAAGTGAGATGTGAAGTGAAAAGGCTTGGCCTCCAGATGTTTAATAATCTATTATTTTTTGAGTAGAGTTGCCACCTTTCTAAAAATAATAAGATTTTCAAAGTTCATTGGACTAAAAATGAGGTATCAAGTGAAAGAATATGGTCTCCGGATAAGCTTTTATTTTTTTAATGGGGCTGGCACCTATTTAAAAATTAATACCTAACATATAATACGTGAAGGCGCTCTTTCTTCAAAATAGATTTTTTTTTGGTAGGTGCTGTATTAAAAAAAGCGTAAGGAGCTGATGCTTTTTTTGTTTGCATATGTGAGCATGTATGTACATAGGCTACATTTGATGAGATTTCAGTGAGAGACAGAATTTATAAATCAGCTGTGCCTACTTTGATGTTTATATTTCATTAGGTTCACGTACATATGTACAAGTACTTTAGTATCTACATATGTATGTGTTGTATATACATACATACATATAACTATAATTGTTCCTAAGTGTTCAGTCAAAAATATTTGAAACACAAAATTCAAATAAAATACGCTTACTTCGATGTTTTTGTTTAGTCTCTTCACGTATTTCTTTCCTCTTCTCTCCTTCGCTAATTTGAATATTTGTATGTACATCTATACATAGTATAAAGGAAAGTCGAGATTCTTTGTACGCGGTAATCTCGAAAGCTACTGAACAGATTTTGACGAGATTTTCTCAAATATATTCTGTATCGATAGGAGAGTGACCTCTTTAATTTAGAATTTTAATAGGGTTGCCATCTGTTAAGAAAATTACTATATTCAATTCTAATAAGTGTAGACGTCAGTTCTGCAGCGTAACTGTCAAATGGAAAGACTTAGCCTCTGGATGTGAAATAATGTATTATTTTTTGAGTAGGTTGCCACTTGTTTAAAAACTATAAGATCTTCACCGTCCGTTGGATAAAATACTGAGCTACCAAATGAAAGTGCATGGCCTTCGCATGTACAAAAACTATAAGTTTCTATAATCTATTTAAAATTACCACCTTCTATACGTAGTATAAATGAAAGGCGAGATATTTTAACCACGCTACTGAACGGATTTAGACAAGATTTTTTATGTATATAATAAATGAAGGCCATGATGGCATATGATTTCTTTCTCCAAATACATAAATGTACATACATATGCATACATTCGGCGCGTGGCGAAGCCTCGCGCATCTGTGACCGGCTAGTATACTGATACGGCAGAATTAGGAGGGATGTAACAAAGAGCTAAATAAGCATAACCCTTACCAGCCTGTACATGTATACATTTAAGTTCGGTATATTCAATGACAGGAACACTGACTTCCTCGGATGGTATCGACGAATGCACCGCAAAAAGAACACCTCCACCGATTCTGCCCTCACGGTCGCTCCTGTATATTTGATATTCATTTGGAAGAATTTCGGAATTAAAAATATGAGGTTTGAGCGATGTTTCAGTCAAGGAAATAATATTGTAATTGCAGTCAAAACCTTTTGAATATAAGTCAGTTAATTTGGTAATCAAACCTCTAACGTTTTGATAGTAAATACTTAAATTAGACTTGCGAGCTAGTTTTTTGAAACAGAATTAAGACTAGAGATTTTAGCTACGTTGTTATTACTTTTATTAGGTTAATACTGAAACTCGCAAACAAACGCCCCGGTTGACCAAACTGAATAATTTAGGGCCGTTTTCTGAAGTAACCTTTAACTTTAAAACTCACTATATTTAAAAGTTGGATTAAAAATAAAGCTATGTCCAAAGTTAAGTATTTCTATTATCCGCTTTTGACGTATGTATGTTTCTTGGATGTAAACCAATTTAAAACCGATAATAAAATACTTTACTTTAGACACAATCATTAATTTTGATGTAACCTTTAAATATAAAGTGAGCTTTAAAGTTACAGGTTACTTGAGAAAACGGCCCTTAGTAGTGCATCAAAATCTTCGGCAGCTACATAAATTTTAAAAGACGAAATATCGCGATCATATTTAAAATTAAATTTACGAATAAATACATTTTTAGTTTTAATTTTAGTCGATATGTATGACTTTATATCATCCGAAGAAGTGTTCTTAGCAAATCTAGAGACAAAGATTGATCTTTTCGGAGGAATTACAACCAACTTTTTGGTAATGATGTCTGATATGCGGGATTCCGAGTTATTCGGAAGAACTAAGTTAGACAGTGCAGCTTCAGATGTTGATGGCAACACTGTTAAATCAACGGTATGATTGACGTTAATATTTTTAGATGTACATTTATTTTCTCGGCTATCCTCAGAGTGTGGAGGGTTGTCGAGACATGTGAAAGACTTAAAAATTTTTTCATAATACTTAAATTTCTCAACAAGTACCGACAGATCCTTCCCAATTTCAGAAAACCCATTTCTGGACTGCCTAAAGAATTTAAATAAATAAACTTCGGTTGATCTACATTTTTGACAAGACCAGAGAAGACCCTTTCCCTCATGAATAGCGTCTAACACCCTACCGCTCAAACCAGCACATTTTATATGGGCAATTCCATCACAGAGCCAGCATGACACACAGGAGTCGTTTTTAACGTGGCAATTGGCGTAAATGCACGACATGTTTAAAATGATATTTATGTATATAAGCAAAAAATCCAAAACAGTTCTGAAAGCGATGTATGAGAAAACTGAGAAAAGCAATCAGCTGGCATATAACAACTTGAATGCTATGTAGCGAACCGTTTTAAATACACTTAATAAACACAACGCAAACAGCTGTGACAAGGATGAAACAGCAGAAATGACTAAAGGAGCAAAATCATTATGCACAAACAAAAACAATTTTAGTTTTAGATAAACAAAAGCAATTGACAACAGCAATATATTATATGAAACAAAAGACTCGGCACTTGCAATTAAGAATATTAAGTTAAATTGATAAAATTTACAGGAAAATATGATATTCTACATATCTTCAATTGTGCACCAAACGTTTATTACCACTTTTATTGTAATATTTACTTTATTAAAGTCAACAACTTTATAAAATATGAATTTTTATGAGAGCACAAAAAAGCACAGCTACACAGCTTTGCAAACCACAAACCAAAATTCACAAATTTACACCAAGTTATACACCAGGGTGCTACTTGAGAGTTTTATTGAGCTGCTATTTCGGAGATCACCACACCTCCTCCTGAGGCTTTTTCATCGAGTTCACTGGGATTCGTACTAGTGACTCCGGCTTATAGAGCCAGTGGTCTACCCACTGAGCAAAGTTCACCATGTAAACCGTTGTTAAGACTTTCACTTTTTTATTTGTCAATCCAACTACAATACAGGACCTCTATTTTGTTGCTATTTAGACTTCACCATGAGCTTGTTGTTTTCTGCACTGTTTTTTTTTTTAATTAAAAAACGGCGTCAAGATGAATAAAGTTGTTGAATATGATAACTGTAATATAAATAAGCGTTAAAAATTACGATTTTTCTTACATAATTTAGGCTTCGCTAGGCATCGCTAGGCATCATCGGATCTGGCTGGAAAAATACGTTATTTAATGTTTTAAGAACCGAAAATTTATGGATTAATAAAAATGTATGGTCAATCTGACCAATCCTGCGTACATATTTTTAGTACTATTTACCCCTAACCATATGACCAGGGAACGGATTTTTAGGACCTAAAAACCTATAAAAAAGGCAAAATAAAATAACCAAATAGGCTAGAAAATGCAAAATAAAAAAACGAAATAGGCAGTAAAAGGCACTAGAAAAGAAGGCACTAAAAAAAGAGAAAAACCGAAAAGTAATCAAAAATACATTTGTTTTAGAAATGTCTATTTTACAAGTAAAAAGAGAAAAACTATGAACTTGTTTCATTGTATGAAACACTTGTACTTTGAATGGTTGACTATTTTTACCGACTTCCAAAAAAGGAGGAGGTTATCAGTTCGTCGGAATATTTTTTTTTATATATATGTTACCGCATAACTTTGGACCACGTCAACCGATTTCGATAATTCTTTTTGCATCGGAAAGGTAGTCTCTCAGAGGTGGTCCCATACTAATCTGATTTAGATCCGATCATTGGATCATGATATATATATATATATTTATTTTTTTTAAGTCGTTTTTTTTGCTAAAAATTACTTGTAAATTTTCGAGTTTTTAACTCACAAAACTTTAATCTTTATAATTGTAGTAACATTGAAACACAAGATTTTTTTTTTTTAAGTTTTCTGGCAGCCTTTTCATTCGATTTTCGCGAAGAAAAGTCTTGAATGTACTACACGTGCGCTCGAGTGGGTTGATACAAGTGGCACCCAATTTAAATATGGAACGTTTAAACTTTCATATTATCAGGAATAAGGGTTTTTTCCTTGCTCTTTACAATTAAAGGTAGAAAAGGCAAAAAAGGCAACATCAAATGTGTATATATGTAATCAGGGAAATCTTAATCGTGGACATTCTAAATCGAATGTACTCTATCTCTTTAGCAAAAAAAAAACGCAATTTCCATAAAATCCGTTCCCTGCGTATGACATTGTATATTAACCTTCAAAACCTCCAATTTTAGATACCTATTTATGTACTGTCTTGTATGTTTAACAGGGATTTAATGGAAGAGCTTGTAGTTTATATACGCGAAGCAGTCGACAGAAAACAGGAGAATATGCGACGTCGGCGTCGGCGTGATGCCTTGCGCTTGCAGCTAGTACGTGTGCTGGAAAAAATTGCAGAAAATGGCACATTTGGCGTAAGGTAAATAGATGAATAAAGTAAGCGTAATACGAGGGTCATTAAAAAGTCTTTAGTATCCGGAACACTAATGCCATTTGAGTCGGTCTGGCATTTGCATCGTAAAATTGGAAATTTTTATCATCTCGTGCTCAGAAATTTTCACAGTACGAGCGCTTTTTGTGTGATTTATAGCTACTTCAAAGTTAAAAGTAGAAAAAAAGGTTAATATAAAAAAAAAGATTTTTGTTGGATGATTGCTTACAACTTTCGCCGTTGATGACCACAAAACAGTGAAAGGATGAACTTATTCCTCCTTAGGGTGAGGAAACACCATCAAGGTCAGTGTCTAAAATTGGTAAAATGCATCCGTACTTCGCTCGACGGTGAACATTGAGAAGATCGCCTAATATCGGTTAGTGCGCCAGAAAACATGAACACTGTACGCAGGGCGATATAGGCAATATAGATCGTCATGGCACATATTAGTTGCGTTCCAGATGCTTTTCTTGTAAATCCTGTTTGCAGGTTTTTACAGGAAGTCGTTCCCGGTCACCACCTTCCGTAAGGTTTATTAATAGGGAAAAGAGCTTTTCCTGTAAATCCTGTAAAACCTGCAAATCGTGAAGCAAATTGAACGCAACTATTGTGAGATTGGGGGGCCCTATGCATTCACGCTATACCGTTAGAAAGCTATGTGCGCGCGGTATACCATATGATGTGGCCATTGCTAAAACAAAAAATGCTCGCGTCAATTAGTGGATACAAGCGCTGTAAAAATACAAGCAGGCCATGTCCAGACAGTTAAATCACATTGTAACAGGCGACGTTACTGAAGTATATTTATTTGCAGAAGCCAGAAAAAGAGGATTTTTCAACAAAAGGTAAAAGAAACAAATTTGTTCGCGCAAAGATGCACTTCGAAACAAATGGTCGCTGGTTTCTTCACTATAGCGGTCATGTGGCAATAGTGATATTAGGGGAACGTAGAACACTTCATTCTGAGTGGTACATGCTATTTGTTTGACAACGGTGTTGGACGAATGGAGAAAAAATAACAAAAAACGACAAATAGTCTTTCATCAAGCTAAAGCGGGCTTTCAAACAAATGATTTCTTAGGTACTCAAAACATTAAGTTGAGGGGTCATCTGTCGTCGAGTCCAGGGCTCGAAATATCACATACGATATCGTATTACTCGTTACGTAAAAACAAATTTTTCGGATTAATACAAACATGAACGTACTCTTTATCCCAATCAGCTTTATACGACTGGCGTATCACGTAATTTTCTCTCATACGGTTTTCGATCCGTGAACGGATGTTACGGATTCGAGCCCACATTTGCGAACTAATGGCTTTTTTATTCCCATACATCAAGGATCAACTTCGTGCACAACGCTTTTCATCGCCAGAAGAAGCTGTTAACTAGTTCAAAAAATATGTTTTTCAGTTACCGACTTCACTGTGGGAAAAGTTATACACCAACGCATGCAAAAGTGTATAAATCATGCTGAAAGATATCTTGAAAACCAATAAGACCATTTCTATCGACAAAATTTGTTTATTTTTAAGGCCTTTTTAGTGATCCTCGTGTATCAATTTATCATTAGGTATTTATAATACTTATAATATCTAAGTAGGTACCTTAGATTTAATCTTTTAAATAAAATATCTATATGAGACGGACCAGGAAAAATTAAATGTGCTTCTTCTTCTGAAGAACTTGACTTTTTAGCATTTAGCTAAAAACCATCAATTGATGCAAAACACTTCAGAGGTCTGGCATGGACGTTTTGTGCCTCCACCTCAAGCAATTAATATTAGTCATTCTTCAATCCGTGCGCTCGAAAAATCTCTCGGGGAATTTAAGTTTCTAAAATAAAAGGTTCTAAAATAATTCCCTCGGCTGTTTCCGAGGTCAGTGAACACGCTGGGAAATTTTTTTTCGATGTGGCCCTTATACCTTGAGATATTCAGCCTCATTGCGTAAGTCGTAAATTTGAATCGTATACTGTCGTGCTGAAATAAGTAAACGACGAAAATCGTCGAAAAATAGGCAGTGCTGCCAAGTTTTTCCATTTTAATACACTAGTCGAGTGGAAATTTTAGGCAAGGACATGCAATTTTCGATACGATTCGACTCTCGAAAAAACGACTTGCATTCGACACGACTCTCGCAATAAGGCTGATTATACAAAAATCGTGGAAAAAACCAGAAAATCCGAATATTGCTCAAAGGTTGATTATTTCTTAGAAAAAAAATTTTCTGATTTCTTCTCATTGATGATAAGTATTTACAACCAGTTTTTTTTTTTGACAAACAAAATGAGTGTTCGCAAAGAATTATGCATTCTTTACTCCTCTATATGTATATCGGTAACATACATATATCTGGATGCATAGCTAATGCTTGAAACACATTCAAAACGACGGCCAACGGACCACAGCTGTCAAATTATTTTAATACGTGCTCTTATGTAGATAAATAATTTGGCGGCTACAGAGCTACACCGCGACTGTGGTTGTGGCGAGCTTAGATCTATTTATATTTTTCTAGCGACAGATAAGGTTCTTCTTTTTCTTTTATGTCAAACTGATACAAATTCATGATGTCACTGTCGCGTTCAAAAAATGCATGTCACTATCGCCAAAGCGTTTAGATAATGAAGTCATGATAGAAGTGAAACTTCTTAAAAAAGGTGTACTCACGAAATTTGATGTGTAAACATATGTTTACGGCCCGGCAAACCATCAGGCGATTGAGTTACATACATAGGTTTGGTTAGAAATTAAACATTAATTTCATTTCATCTTATTCATTTTCTGATATATAATTTATTTATTTATTTTCCGGTAACATCCCCTTATATTAATTCGCCTTGCTAGCATCCTTTAGATCGGGTTGTAATGGAAGTAACTAAATGGAGTGAACTGTCACATAATTATCTATTGTATGTTTAACAAATAAATGCAAATGTTTATGATGCAATCAATAGATCCTTACGAATTCGCCGCGATTTGTTACGATTCTCCCCGAGCAATATAACCAAGACTCTAAGTGACGTACGCACTTTTTTTTGCAAAAAGCATTTATTTAAGTTGAAAAAAGATAAATTCCTTTGTTCGGCATTTCTTCTTACTCACTTTCTATCTTCCAAGGCGAATTTATATATTCTTATCACGAATTCATATATTCATGTGGTAGCAAGAGTATAAAAACATGGAATGACTTAACAAATTATACGCACAATTATCACGTTTATGCGTAGTCCAATTCACGAAATCATTTCATAGATCTGAGTAAAACCTCAGTGCATAAACTCCATTTCGCGTATAATGGAAATCATGAAATGGTGTTCATGCACTCAGTTTATAAATACTCAAACGCATGAAATGATTTCATGAATTGGCATGACAGCATGAATTACAACAAACACATCATTTTCACATAATGCAAGCCTTAAATGTTGCGACCGTTGGTTCAAATCGATCCGAAATCAAGTTGTACGTTTTGCCCACAAACGTTCATTCATTATAAAATCTCATTTTTCATAGTTTCGGCTTACATTTATAAAAAGCTACAAAAGCACGTACATATTTCGGCTGAGTTATCCATTTTGGGTTATTTAGAGAACAAAATAAACGCAAAATATAATGACTTTGTACAACATGGCCATTAATGTAGCGACGAGTAGTGCAACTTGCCATAAAATCAAAATTTTTTTGATTTTTCATACAACCAAAACACAAACTCATTCAACAGGCCCACAACGGTGCAATCTAGAGCAAAACATCACCAAGCTGAATCAACGGCCGCTACCACGGCGAATTTAATAAGGTGGTGTTAGCGGTATATAAGTAAAAAATTATACTAACAAATTATACGTGATATTCATATTGTCATTGGTATGAATTACAACAAACACTCCATTTTGAAGTAATGTCCTCCACGGCCAAAAATTCAGATTCGCCGATAACACCACGTTATTAAATTCGCCTTGGTCGCTACGTTTATGGCTTTCTTTAAGAAACACCGGGGCGAAAATTTCACTGCTCCTGTAACACTACCTCTTATATGAGTTCGAGACAAATTCATTCAAGGTGATAGCAGGAGCACAAAAACTACTCTAAAAAATTATACGTACAATGAAAAACATGAACAAAAATAACATCATTTTTGACAATCAGTACAATTCGCATTGATATCAACGAGCAGCGTTGCTATCTGTAATTCCATTGCATTTCGTTTGTACTACATATCGCTTTTGAAGACGGTGTGCGATATGTGCATATATACATGTACACAAACTTACCCTGCAGCAAGTCAAACTGGTGCCGAACTTGCGCTAAGCTAGCCGGAGAGGGACGGCACTGGTTCTTCATCTATCCCAACTCAATGCTTTCAACTCATGATGCAATATTACAAGGTGTTATCGGTTGGCAGCTTCTCGCTCTAATTCCGCCATATTGACTGCCTTAGGTGAAACAGTGTTAGTTCTTTAACAATTCTTTGCCTAATAATATAGTTGAATGTTTTTTTTATGTTTTCTCGGTATACACATTTTGTTTTCTTAAAAAGGTATTTTATCTTATTTTATTTCATTTCATTACGAATATACTATAAAAAAGCAAATTTTGTTTAGAAGAAAATATGAAATTTTATATTTTCCCCCAAATGGGGATTAATTTCTTCCCGTTTTTCTTCTTTTTCTACTGAGCTAAGGCAGTGTCAAATCGAGCTGCCACAACTGATACCACCTTGTATTATTGCATCATGCTTTCAACTGTCTTTTTTAACATGGCGATGTCCTACAAAGTGACAATTAAATAAGCACGCATACAATTTTGTAAATAATAAATACCTCATTTTATGATTAATGAGCTATTTGTTTTGCAATAATTTACTTTTTGAGGCAAACTGTGCTTTAAAATTAGAAACATAATTTGTCAGTTATTCCTTCATTTTCTAAAACTGACATTCTTAAAAATAATTTATATTTGTTGCGTATCGGTATTTCTGTG